TTCAGGCTGATTTACTGTGGAGAGATCAGCTTGATGTGAGAAACACTTCCTGGTCTCTGATGATGATGGTGGTGCTGGTTCCGTCCTTCATCAGAACCCGGACATCATCAATCATTTACAACCTGGTCTCTATAGCAACTGCATCTCCATGTCCCAAACGGGTTTTCTGCATCACCTGCTGCTCCGGTTGAGCCCAGAGCTCCCAGTTGGCCTCAGCATGCAGCTCCAGTCCAGTCTGGACCGGCACCATCATCCCAGTCCACACCAGAGAGAAGAATCAGAACCAAACCCAGTGGTTCTGCAGGCAGACAGGAAGACAAAGCAGTGGTTCTGGTGAATATTTAACTGGATCCAACATGGAGACCAGCTTCACTCTTTCTGGGAGAAAATATGAACAAAACCATCAGGAGGAAATTTAAAGCTTCATCACCAGTAACCAGAACCAGTAGCTGCTGCTGGTTCTGGGTGGATCAATCAGTTAGATCCAGTCATGAAGACGAGGATCAGAGAAAAACAAATTCTGTCTCAGGTTCTGTTTGGCTGACATGAAACCAGTTTGCTGAACGTTTGAATGTTTTCTGCTCAGTTGGAGGAGCAGAGAGTCGGGTGGGAGGACGAGATGAAGATCCAGGAATTCAGCAGAAGATGGAAGATCAGAATCTGAAGGAGGACAGAGCAGAACCTGCAGGATCCATCAGTCCGTCTGTGAGGACTGACCGGTCCAAACCAGAACCTCCAGACTTCAGGACTGAACCTGGACCCTCAGACAGAAAGTAAGAAACCAGTTTCTATCTGATTCATGTGAATCTATGGAGATCAAATATAAACGATATGAACTGATTGATCTGCAGTGTTTGATAAAAAGTCACTTCATTTTCTTACATATTAATTTAAATTTAACCCTCCTTTATGTTCGTGGGTCTATTTGAGTGTTTCATCATGTAAATATGAAAGAAAAATATTTTCAAGAAAGTGTCTGTCTGTGTGTGTAGTTACATTGTGTCACCACAAGAGGGCAGTACAGAGTGAGTAACTGACAAAAAACAAACCCAAAATGTAAATAATCTTCAGTTTATTACTGTGTTCAAATATTTTTAAAAGCTTCATTGACTTTTCAATTTTATTAATTGTTCTGTAGATGGTTTTATCCTGCTGGATGTCCTGATCTCAGCTGCTTGAGTTTTATCACTGATGTGATTCCATCAACATCATGTTTATAGTTTTTCTAGACTTTGATTCTCAAAATTACTCACAGTTAATATTTCTACAAGGATTTTTACTGAATAAAATGGAACGTTTACTTTTCAATCACTATATTTCCATCAAGAGTAACAAGAAAATATTACTATTTCTAAGTAGCTGCTGTTGTCTGAATTATTTTAGTAATACATTTCCATCTCTAATAACATGCAAGTACAAAATATATAGATTAATAGGTACAGGATTAAGTCAATGTATGTTTAGTCATCAGAAACTCCTTTGTGAAAAGTTTAAAGTTTATCAGTTTTGTGATGGTTGAGCTCCTCTTAAAGCTCGTCTTAAAACCCATCTATTTTACTTGGCTTTCAACTCTAGCGAGATCTAGTTTTACATTGTATGTTTGTTTGTTTTAAACTGTAAGAGTTTTTATTTGTTTTTATCTATTTTATGTACAGCACTTTGTATCAGCTGTGGTTGTTTTAAAGTGCTTTATAATTAAAGTTGGTATGGTATAAGTTCATATTGCCCTCTGGTGGTGAATTGTCGAAACTACAGACATTCTTCAAGGACATTTTTCAGCCAGATTTATTGTTGCTTTGTTTTAATGTTCACTTTAATGTTAATGCCGTTAAATAAAAGTGACTGCAGGATTTTATTCATTCTGACTTTTACCAGAAAAACGTCCTTTAAAGAGTTTAATACAGAAGCTTTATTTTATTATTTAAACCTGTATTCATTTCAGCTGTAACACCAAACAGTGAATTAAAAGATGTCATAATAATATTTGAGTCAGAAAACGGTGATAAACTGTTAGTTTTTCTTTATATAAATTGGATATTAAATGTAAACAATGCAGCATTATCCGGACTGTAGTTCCCACTATGGCCATCAGAGGGCGGAAATTTCCCGCTCTGAATATAGAGATCAGTTTGTAGAGCTGCTTCTCGTTTCTGACTTCTGTCAAATTGATCATCTTTCTCATTATATATATTTATATTAGCATGGTATGTCTAATGGATTGACAGCTGATTTAATAGAACCATGTGTTATTTATGTATAGATAGCACGTCTTTATATCATAAGTAAATCACAGTTCAGTTTCCTGAAGAAATAAATAACTAGTTTGTTCGCCAACATGGTGAGTTTCCGGTTTAGAGTCAGGAGAATATTTATGAAAATAAAATTTTTCTGGAAAACAGAATAATTGTGATGATTTTGCTTCGAAACACTATTTTACTATTTATATCACACCCTAAGAAATTTACACAGTCATGCTTTCTGTTAAAATAATTAAGAAGCTAAAATGAACTTACAGGTGAATTCAGTTAATCGTGTTTTACTTTGAAAAAACCTTTTATATTAAATTTTTCTCCATTAGATATTTTCATCCTGCTCTATATTCTGATCTCAGCGGGTTGGATTGATCACAGCACATTTTTATTGTTTCTATTTTTCAGGCTTTGATTCTCAAATTTATTGACATTTAATCTTTTGGGAGGATTTTTGTGAAGTAAGTTTTATTTTATTTTCCATTTATTAACCTTGCAGTGACTTTTTAGCAACATTAATTTAAGTTGCTTTTATTCGACCTGATAAAGTGAAATAACTTCATCAAATGATCTGGTTGATTAATATGAGGAATATGATAATTCACCACTAGAGGGCAGTGAGCGCTAATAATCAATCCTCCACCAAAACTTGTTTGTTCTGCTGGTTTTCTGCTGAATCCATGAAAAAAGCTGCTCAGTTTCGGATCTGCTTCATTAAAAGCAAAATCTAAATACTGAAGGTTTTCAATCTTTATTCTAGTTTTGTTGTTTCACTCTGTGAGTCACGTGACGTCATGTGGAAAAGAAACTGAAAGCAAGTTTGGTTTCTTCAGAACAGCGTCCATTTTGAGTCGCAGCAGGGAAACAACTTGTAAATAACAGTAAGTGTTGCCGCTCCGTGTTTCTCCAGGTCTCTCCGGGTTTCTCCGTATCTCTCTCGGCTCTCTGGAGTCTTTCTAACCGATGAATCACAGCAGCTTCCTGGATTCTCCACCACCGGGTCGCTCGGCTCTCCTGTTTACTTTCTTAAATGTCTGATCTAGACAGGAATTAGTCAGAGGTTAAATGAAATGCTTTATTTTGAGAGCATTTCACAATTTCACTTCACTAATAGGTTGATTTGTGGTAATAACACTGTTACTGATGATTGACACATTTGTGAGGTAAAAATAAAGATAATATTTATCTGTAGGAGTTCTTCTTGCTTTGTAAAATATTATTACTCAGGGGTGATACTTAGGACTCTGTGTTTACGGTTCACTAAAAATGTTTTCCTGACAGTCACAAAAATTCCCATTAAATTCCATATGAAATGAATGAGGGTCATTTTTGACCCACTCAAAGGGGTCGAAATATAAAACATGCTATTTATTCAAATGTATGAAAGGTCAATCAAAAATTTATTTGCATGATATCAGTGACATATTTTTAGGAATATCTGGAATATGAAGTGATGAAAACATCACTACAAAGATATTGCAAAAAGATGACATCACCGGGTCAAAAAGGACCCTCTTAGGCATCAGAGGGTTGACCTGGTGAGTGGTCAACTCTATGATACAACTTTTTAAAACTAATTAAAAATACTTTTTTTCTTTTTAGCTTTTAACCCAGAGTGAGCTAAGATCTCTGTCTTAATGCTGCGCTACTTGAATTGGTGATGTTTTGATTTCTATTTTCTTACAGTTGCTTTAATGTTTTTTATTTTTGTACACTTTGATCAGCTGCAATATTGTACTTCATGAGCTTTAGAATAAAGTGGTATGGATTTACCATGACAGCAGCACCAGCATCTAAAGCTGACCTGTTTGTGTAGAGTGTGCAATAATGAACATTTCAAATTTAACCTAAATAAATTAAAGTAACTTTTTACAGTGGATCAGTGTTCTTGATGCAGGAACTGTCAGTGTAAAACCTCTGCTGTTTAACCTAAAAAAAAGAACAAAGACATTGTGAACTAGTTTCTCTGCTTGTTGAAATCAGCAGAAAGTGAATCACATCACTCCGTCCCTCAGCAGGCTGGGGTTCAGCAGAAACATGTTTTTCTTATCTGTGGATCAGAACCGGCTTTATGCAGTCCACAGATTTTCTCTCTTCCTCCTCACTGAGATTCGTCTTTTTCCAGGTTTTCCTCTTGTTGCTTCTTACAGCAAGAAGAAACTCTTTGTCTCTCAAAGCTCTGCTGGAAAACTGCATGTAGATCCAGACTGACTGATCCAGAACCAGTTGCCAACTCAACAAAAGAAATTGTTTAGGCTAAAATCAGAATCAGGAGGTCAGGCTTTTTAAAGTTCAGTGATCGGCCTGAAAACTGCCATCGGTGCATCCCTAAAATAACTTAGTAATATCTTTAAATGGAGCAATAATAATAATTTAAACACATTTTATATCAATTGTATATTTACATTCAGTTTCTAGCTAAAAATGTTGCATTAAATCAAATCAAATCAAATTTGATTTGTATGGCACATTTCAGCAGCAAGGCATTTCAAAGTGCTTTACATCATAAACACAAGAACACAAAGTCATGCAACATAGAATAGACAATACATTGTTACATATTACATTAATATGCCTCTTTATATTGAATTTCTATTCTGAGACAAATCAATTGACTAAATATGTTTCAGGCCTCGCTGAGTGAGGGGGGCTTCATCCCCCTATAAAACCAGCTGTTTACCCATGATTCCTTGCAGTTGATCCAGCTGGTATTTACCCATAATTCCTTGCAGCGGGTCCAGCTGGTATTACCCATGATTCCTTGCAGCAGGTCCTGCTGGTATTTACCCATGATTCCTTGCAGCGGGTCCAGCTGGTATTTACCCATAATTCCTTGCAGCGGGTCCAGCTGGTACCTCAGCTGGATGCTGTGGTCCCTGAAAGCTGCTTTGTGACTCTTTAGCTGAGAGGAAATCCTGCTGAGTTGCACACAGAGGCTGACATGTTGCTGAGATCCCAGCTGGACCCGGTTCTGTCTGGAGGAGAGCTGTGGACCCGACCTGAGCTGCTGCTCCCTCAGAACCTCCTGAACACTGACTCCCTCCATACAGATTTACAGTAGAGCCAAATGTTCACTTCTTCATTCACCTGATTCACTTGATTCTCTGAACACATGATGGGAACCAACTTTCTGCTCCAGTTACTGGAACTGGATCACTGGGACTGACTGGTTCTGGTTTCTCTTTCAAAAGGTCCAGAAGATGGAAGATCTGGATCTAAAAGAACCTCCAGGATCCATCAGTCCATCTATGAGGAGTGACTGGTCCAAAAAAACAATCCAGACTTCAGTAATGAACCTGGACCCTCAGACAGAAAGTAAGAAACCAGTTTCTAACTGATTCATGTGAATCTATAGAGATAAAATATAAATTAACTGGTTGATCTCAGTGTTTTAATAAACAGTAACTTAATTTTCTTACTTATTAATTTAAAGTTAGACATGAAGGATGTTGGTCAGTAAATCAGTTTGAATGAAGGTCTGAATGAATTAATATGGATTAAAATGTTGCATGAAAACAAAAATATGTGAGGAGCAACAATTCAGATTGTCTGTAAACCCACTGAAGCAGTGAAACCAGCATCTTCCAGACTGGGAACACTGGCATCAGTCAGCATACCAAATATAATTCAATGAAGTACTTAAAACCAGAAATCATCAATGTTCTGAGGTTCTGTTCTGACCCAGTTTCTGGTCCCTGGTTCCTTTTGGACCTTCATGAACATGTTCAGCTCCAGCCTGTTGCTAGTGAATATTTCAGTGATGAAGAAATGTCTTCACAGGAGCAGCTTTAGTGATGAGGAGTTGTGCTGTGCTTTGGGTCAGAATGTTCTGATGGATTCGGGTTGGACCAGCTTCTCCCAGTATGGGAAACAACCCAGAACAGGATCTGGACCGACAGCCAATCAGAGCAGCCGTGCTCCAGGTGAGACTGAACATGTCCAATCAGAGCTTCTTCCTTCCAGATCCACGTCTTTAGTTGACATTTGGACATTTAAGGTTTAAAAGTCTTTTTGTGATCAGTTGTTTCAACTGAATCTGTCTTTTTCCAGCTGGTGTAACTGGAACTTATGTCTCAGTAACTCGGCTTAAGAAAGTCCTCATTTAATTTTAGACAGCTCAAAAATGGCCAGAAGATAAATGTTCAAATTTGACTTTTTATTTTGTTTTTAAAATGATAACTTTTAATGTTCCATCTAGGCGTTCTCAAATTGATTCCCAAATAACTGTTACCTGAACTTTGGTCAAAGCATCATGTTCTGCTAATACTGCAGACTCTTCAACTCTTCACAGTCAGATAATGACTGAGATTCCAGTTCACTCAATGGGGCCTGAAGGTTTTGGTGGTTGACAAAACAAGATTACAGACTTTGCAGACTGACCAGGGCCGGACCAAGCCTCAATGTAAACTCAATGTTTACAGATAACAATATTCACCCCACTGTTTCCAACTCACTGACTTTCTTTCTACCTATGTTTAGCAAAATTTCAAAACAAAACAAAAAAATGGTATCGACGAAAATCAAAATCGGCAGATCAGGATTTCAAAGCATAACTCCAAAAGATGAAAATTTAATTTATACCAGGTGAGACTTTCTCTACTGAAAGGTGGCCCTAAGCTGCTAAGTTTGCTTTGCCTTGGGCCGGCCCTGAAACTGACATCAGAATAACTTTCATTGATTTTTCTCTAATTATCGAATTATGTTTCCTTCATAGAAATTTATGAAGAAGAACCAAACTGGCCACTTTATTAGTCCAGCAAATTGTTTTATTTTGTTTGTTTTTTTTTTTTTTTTTCAGATATTGTTGGTCTGTATCAGCCTGACCTTAAAGAGTCTCTGAAGATGATGTTCCAAAGTCTCTCTGAAGGCGTCGCTGAACATGGAAATAAAACCGATCTGAATCATATCTACACTGAGCTCTACATCACAGAGGGGTCAACTAGAGAGGTCAACCAGGAACATGAGGTCAGACAGATTGAAACAGCATCCAGGAAACAAGAAACAGTCAGAAGAGAAGACATCTTTAAAGTCCCACCTGGAGGAGATCAACCAATCAGAACAGTGATGACCATGGGCGTGGCTGGCATTGGGAAAACACTGTTAACACAGAAGTTCACTCTTGACTGGGCTGAAGGCAAAACCAACCAGAACATTGATTTCATATTTCCATTCACCTTCAGAGAACTGAATTTACTGAGAGAAGAAAAGTTCAGCTTATTAGAACTGATTCATAAATTATTTTCTAAAACCAAAAGAATCAGCAGCTTTGAATCGTTCCAGGTTCTGTTCATCTTTGATGGTCTGGATGAAAGTCGATTTAATCTGGATTTCTACAACAATCCGATCCTGACTGATGCTACAGAGTCCAGCTCAGTGGATGTTCTGCTGACAAACCTCATCAGGAGGAAACTGCTTCCCTCTGCTCTCCTCTGGATAACCACACGACCTGCAGCAGCCAATCAGATCCCTGCTCAGTGTGTTGACATGGTAACAGAGGTCAGAGGGTTCACTGACCCCCAGAAGGAGGAATACTTCAGGAAGAGATTCAGAGATGATGAAGAGAAGGCCAGCAGGATCATCTCCCACATCCAGAAATCCAAAAGTCTCCACATCATGTGTCACATCCCCGTCTTCTGCTGGATCACTGCTAAAGTTCTGGAGGATGTGATGAAGACCAGAGAGAGAGAAACTACCCAACACTCTGACTGAGATGTACATAGAGTTCCTGAAGGTTCAACTCAAAATCAAGGAGGAAAAGTATGATGGAGGAAAAAAGAGCAAATCTATCTGGAGTCCAGAGAACAGGAAGCTGATTGAGTCTCTAAAAACTGGCTTTTGATCAGCTGCTGAAGGGAAACCTGATCTTCTATGACAAAGAGCTCACACAGTGCGGCATCAACATCCAAGATGCTGCTTTGTTCTCAGGAGTTTTCACTGAGATGTTTAAAAGAGAGAGAGGGACACGCAACATCTCCGTCTACAGCTTTGTTCATCTGACCATCCAGGAGTTTCTGGCTGCAGTCTACATGCTCCACTGCTTCACCAGCAGGAAGTCAGAGGAGATCAAGACGTTCCTGGGAGACAAATACAGAGAAACATCTCTAGATGAGTTCATGAAGAAAGTCATGGAGAAATCCCTCAGCAGTCAAAATGGCCACCTGGACCTGTTTGTCCGCTTCCTTCATGGTCTCACTGTGGAGTCCAACCAGAGAGACTTACAAGATCTGCTGGGTCAGACAGAGACCAGTCCAGAAACCATCCAGAGAATCATCACCAACCTGAAGAAGATGAACACTGATACAATCTCTCCTGACAATTTATGAATAACACTGAAATATTCTCTTCTGGCCGTTTATGAAGAACACTGATAGAATCTCTGCTGACAGAAGCATCAACATCTTCTACTGTCTGGTGGAGATGAACGACGTCTCATTTTATCAGGAGATCCAACGGCTGCTGGATTCAGGGAAGGAGCTCTCAGAGTCTAACTGTTCAGCTCTGGCCTTCATGCTGCAGATGTCAGAGGTTCTGGATGAGTTGGACCTGGAGAAGTACAACACATCAAATGATGGACGACGGAGACTGGTTCCAGCTGTGAGGAACTGCAGAAAGGCTCGGTGAGTCCAGATGTTTTCATTGTCTGACGCTGATTCAGCTCTATTGTCCTCCTGTTTCTTCTTCTGTCTTCAAGTTGATTCTGGTTTTTTTGCTCTTTATCTACTTCCTTCATCCTCTGGATTATTTCAGCCAATCAAACATCTAAACATTCAGCTCATCAGGACAGATGCAGCTTCTGGTTTTAGACATTTTGATCATTTTAAAAATATTTCACTTTTTATCAGTTTTCAGGTTGAAATGAATAGAAAACCCTGAACTCTAGAAAATCTATTTTCTCTAAGATCCAATCAGCCAGAGAAACTTTTAAACTTTAAACTCTTCACTCATTGAGCCGCTGCTCCATCATTCAGATTTTAGGATCTTTGACTGTTTTTATAAAATTATTGTTTTGATTTAATGAAAATTTTAATCAATATGAGTTTTTGCATTAATTATTAGCTATGTGAACAGTGATGATCTTCATCATCCTCTTCCTCCTCCCTCTAGTTTCCTCTGAGTTTGTAAATGAGACCAAAATGTGTTTTCTGTCGTCTGGTTCCAGAAAAGTTCTAGTTTCTGTCAGATCCTCCCAAAGCTCTGAGAATCTGCTTCCAGAGCTGGAACCATTTTCCTCATCAACTCTTCATCTGCAGCCTTTGTTGAAGCTGTTAGCTGTCCTCCATGAAGACCTGCAGAGACATGAGCTTCAACTCTGGAGACATCCAGCCTTTCTAGTGACTGGAGAACTTTCACTGCTTCACCATGAAATGCTGCTGGACCCAAACGCTCCGTCTCCTCCAGGGGTTTTGCTCTTCAGCTCTTTAGGAGTTTAGCAACAATTTCTCCTGACATCCAAACCTTTGTTCCTCTGAGACAATGGACAGACCACTGCAGAGACATGTGTCCCTCTTCCAACCAGTTTGTCCAGTTCCTCTCAGATGGACAGTCTGAGAGGACGGTTCTGACCCAGTCCAGACGGTTCTGACCTGAAGGAGCAGCAGGACCGGTTCTGCTTCTGCTGCAGGACGACCAGAACAATGTGAAGCTTTTAGCTGCAGCAGGTTGACGACTGTCCACTTTCTACTTTGTTAAAGCATCAAATCCAGCAGATGAACGGAGACAGAACTGGAGCATCATGTGTTTGTTCTGCTCCAGTTTCCTCTGTGGCAGCATTTAATAACCTGCTGCTGGGAAACATGTTTCTATACAATATATTACTATTATTCATGATGATGCAGCAGATATTGGCTCAACAAACCCAGAGATGCCAGAGGTCCACAGCAGCTGGACTTCCTGTTCTGCTCACTTCATTTATTACTCACTTCCTGCTTGGTGGAAGATCTAAACGGTCTAGTCCAAGTCAGAGCTGTGAGCAGTTCCTCCTCCTCTCCATCATCTCCAGTCGTTTCCTTCATTCAGCTCAGTCAGCCTCTTCATCAGCTGCTGCAG